GGTGTTGCCCTGACCTGTGCCAGCTGTCCTGGGCCTCCGGGTGTTGCCCTGACCTGTGCCAGCTGTCCTATTTCTTCAGCTTCATTTAAATGAGTCCCTGATTGTTCTTCCTCCATCAACAGTTTTCAGTGGCCCCCTGGACTGGTGTGAGCAGAAGCTGAGTGTGCTGTGAACAGGGAGGCGCAGACCAAAAGGCCGGCCAGGTGACTGAGTAGGTGGAAAGTCCTGCCTGGGTCTGGGTCGGGGTTGGGCTGGGGCCTGGGCCCTGCTTTCCTTTTGTCCTAAGGGAGCTCAGGGAAGGGGAGGTGATGACCCGGGCTGTGGCACTGGCCCTTTCTGAGCATGTGGAACCCGCCTGTGAGGGCCTGGACAGCCACATGAGGTCTGCCCCTGGGAACAAACATGGCTCATGCCCATAGTAAGGACAGCAGCATAAGGTCTGGGAGCACCCGAGGGGCTGGGGCTGGGCAGGGCAGTCGGAGGCAGTGGGAGAAGGCTGCGTGGTAGAGCAGCCCTGTGACTTGCATCTGGGAGGCCATGGGGACCCCGACGTACTCCGCCCACTCCAGTCCTGGCTCCCATCTGGGGCAGTGGCTTGGCTCTCTTGGCTCAGTTCCCCCCATGTGAAGTGGGTGGGTAGTAGTGCCCACTCTAGGCAGACAGGGCTTCCGTGAGATCATGTGTGGAGTGCTTTGCGTGCAGTAAGCCCCCTCAACACAGGCCCTGTGTGTGTCCACCTGTGTGTGTGTCCTCCTGTGTGTCCTTGTGAGGGCCAGGCCTGACCTCTCACCTGGTCTGTCCCCCACATCCACAGCTCTGTTGGTCCCTCAGGACCGTCCTCTTCCCCTGATGATCGTGTCCCCGTGGAGAGATGGCTGCTCAGCTGCCGACTGACGTACCGCTGGTGAGTCACGTCACCCCTGCCCTCCTCTCAGAAGACTCGGGCCCAGGGCACGGGCTCTTGCTTCCCCATGAGCCTCCACCCACACAGACCCCTCCAGGGCCCTCGTCCCCAGCTGTCTCCTGGGGGCTCTGTGTGCCTTGGTGAGGAGGGCATGTCCTTGTCCGGCACCCTCCAGGGCTGGGGGCCAGCCATGCAGGACAGGGCAGTGCCGAAGTGGGCCCCTGGTGAGGGGTGGCTTAAACACATTATGCTGATAACCCGGGCCTGGTGAGGTGCTGCTGGGCGTGTGGCCCTTAGAAGTGGACACGCAGCACTAAATGTCCATTGTGGGCGTCCACCTGTGCTGTGACAGGACACACACCTGTGGAAGCAGGCACACCCCATCTAGGAGGTGGGGGACCTCCAGTGAGAGGGAGGAGGATATGGGGGGCCACGTGGGGTCTTCAGTCCCAGCCACGATGCTTTATCTTTAGCTGGGCGGGGGGTGTGGCTGTTGGATTTTTGTCCCATGAACTTACTTTTAGACCAGAAATAGTTTGTAATAAAAGTAGATGGCATGTAAGTACTCAGCCTGGAGCACTGTGCATCAGGACACGGGTGCTGAGGCCACACGGTCCACCACAGGCCTCTGTCCGGGAGGAGCCCGTGGGCGCTGGAGTTCAGTTGAGATCTTTCTTCCTGGAGGAGCGTCGTAAAGGGCGAGCGCGTGTTGGCTCTGCTGCTTCAATCTCGAGGGCTTTTTTGATCCAATTTTATGCCTCGAGGATTCCCTGGCCTTTGAAGCTGTGCTGACGCCTTGTTTGCCGCAGCACCCGTGTGCGCCGGTGCGCCTGGCCCTCCTCTTTCCCATCGTGCATGGGTGTGCTCTGGTTGTGTGCAGCAGTGGGGCTCGTTGTTACATAAAACTCACACACGCACACGGTGTGACGAGGAACCTGCCAGCAGCATCCCCAGGGTTTCTGGTCCGCCCTCCTCCCACCCCCAGCTCCTTTGCTCTGCTCTGCTGATCACCCTTCATCTTTTGTAAGATCCTCCCCACTTTCCTTTCCGTTTTCCTCTCTAGCTGACATGTATGAGAGAAAACATGTGACCTTTGACCTGAGTTTATTTCACTCAACATGATGGTCTCTAGTTTCATCCATTTTTCCTGCAAATGACATAATTTCATTCTTCTTTATGGCTGAGTAAAACTCCATTGTGTGTCGGCGCTAGGGTTGTGGCTCAGTGGTAGAGCGCTTGTCTCGCATGCGTGAGGCCCTGGGTTCCATCCTCAGCACCACATAAGAATAAATAAATAAAAATAAACATATTGTGTCTCTCCACAACTAAAAAAGAAGAACACTCCATTGTGTATAAATCCCTCATTTTCTTTATCCATTCACCTGTTGATGGACACCTAGGCTGGTCCATATTTTGGCTGCTGTGGATTGTGCTGCATAAACATGGTGTGCGTGTTTGCTGTAGTAAGAGTGGTGTAGCTGGTCATATGGTGGCTCCAC